GTACAGTTGGGTACGGTAATGTTAAATGTTACTAGTCGTGACTTTTTAATTTACAGTAGTTTTGATGATGATTATCATGTTATACCAGTCGATTTAGATATACATTTCTGCAAAAATCTGTTACTAGATTTAAAATTAATTTATTTTGAAAAACTAATTCATGAAATTTGTAATACTAACTTMTAAGTTTTACATGTTTAATAAAATTATATTAGTTTGGCATTGTGAAATGTGTTGTTATTTTATAATAACTATTAATTGTATAATAATTAATAACCAAMAATATATTAATATGTGATCTAATGTGCAACAGAAAAATGTATTGCTTACTTATTTTTGTAAGTTCCCAAAATTATAATTTTTTTGTATTTTGATTTATGATGTAGGTAAATTGTGATATAATTTGATTAATTTGTGAAAATTTTGTCAATTGTGTTTATTAAATATCTTGTTAAATAAAATTGTTCAAAACATTAAACTACTTMTATTTTATAAACTATATTACTATTAACAAAATTTATCAGATGAAAATATAGGTGAACTTAAATTGCAAATACCACTTATTATTATCATAATGTCGTGCGCTAAGTGAACATGGCCCCAAGTAAATTTGTTCTGTAGTATTTTAAATGTTTTAAGTCTTTGATTCACTCTTTCTATGTGTACTCTTGCACTTGCTATTTCTCTTGTAAGAAGGGCTTCAGTTTTACTAAATTGAGATTTTCCTCTTAAAAAGGGTGGTCTAATCAGAGTTACACCCTTTTCGTTACAAATATCATCAATTCTAAATCCTCTATCTACCATTATAGCGTCTGATCTATCAAGTAATTCAATCAAATTACTTTGTTGGAATATGACATTATCAGAAGCCCTACCCCCATAAGGCTTACTGACAAACGTTATGAGAMCTGCAGGGGAAACACCTATTAAAAACTTAAGTGTGAATTGTGACTTATAATAACTATATAGTTTTATTTTACAAGACAAGCATTTTGGCTTTTGAGCTGGTATTTCAGTGCAATCTAAGACCACCCTTACATTAGAAAAGTTTTTGAAACAAAATGGAATATTGGACATTATTTCATCTTTTGAGGGCCAKTAAATCAAATGTTCAAATATTGTACCAAGTAGCGGTAAAATAGTTAAATAAATTTGTCTACAAGTTGATACACTAATATTTTGAAAAAAAATCGATAAAACATAAAAAGAAAGATCTTATTTTAGTTTCATAAATACAAGAACAATTCTTTCTTTAATACTTAATTGGTGAGCTCTGACATCTGGGTATTGCAAAGAAAACAACTCCACTATTTTATTGAGTATTTGTTGAGAA